CCCTGTCAGACCTTCCTACCTTTCTCATACAACACCAGACTGCATGTGTGTAGCCATGAACATAGCTCTTGTAAATGCTCTATTCTGTAATCTCCTTCACAAAACAGACCTCATGGATCTTTATTAGATCTAGGTTTACTGGCTAAGCCTGTCTTGCCACACACATGGCTTAACTAAGGAGGGCTATCATACAGCAGGAATATTTCCTGTTCTTCAAATTATATTGCCATTTAACTTTCCTGTATGGGGAAGCCACAACAGTTCTCTCTTATCACCAGAGATCTCTTATATCACCAGAGATGAGGCAAAATCATCACCAACTTCTCAATGATTTCCAAGATCCAGAACCAACTATAGCAGCAGTTTATTTCTTGAAACTGTGGGTAATATGAAAGTTAGTGTTTTTTTTTTTTTTTTTTTTTTTTTTAAGTTTAGGCAGTACAGATATAAAGGCTAAGAAGGGGGTAGAAATTAATAGATTATTGCTATAGATACTTTCAAAATGCCCTAGGAGAGAGAACTCTAGAAAGAAGCAGACACACCAAGCACTTTTATGTAGCAGTTGAGGCTCTTTAAGCCTCACCTGGCAAGGTCACTGATTTTGCTTTTGGCAATAAATAATTAGTCAAGTGACTTTTTCATGTCTCCTTCCATTAGATGAGTGAGAAAACTAAATGTTTCTGCTCATTCTCTCTTTCACAAGCTGACGGTACACTGGGAGAACAAATGAGGAAAGGTAATCGCAACTTTTTCCATTTAACTTTTCTCAGCCAAGTAGAGCATTTATCTTTTCCTCTCCCTTAAGGTAGAATAGGAAAAAAATGTGTACTAGACTAAATGACTCATGATAGCAAGGGAGCAATATAAACACCAATCTTCATTCCAAAGGATACTCCAGCCCTTTTCTTTATTGGTGAGATGAACAGGGCAAATGAGGGAAGACATGAAAGAGTCACCTCTGAAACTGCCACTTCATTCTGCAAGGAATCCCTCCAAAAAGAGGAGAAAAACAGAGGCAGTATCAGGGGAATCTTCCATTGCATGGATTGGTCTGTCCCCATCTCTCGCTAGAAAGATGGCACTACAGCCAGTATGACTTATGATTTTATGAGACTGACAGCAAGACAAAGATCTCTCTCTCTTCCCTTCACTTAAGACTCTGACTGTAATCTCCACAAATTCATATCAATGCCAAGCAGTTGCACCTTCAATATTAAATAGAGAATATCCAGATTAAAGGTTCTATTTTCTAATTTACTAAAAACAGGGCATGAAATTAGAATATTTTATAGGTGGTGCTTTTGGTAGAGTTCAACACAAGGAAACAAGCAAAAACATAATCCTGATTTATGTGCACTGGCAAGTTTCCTAGCACAGTAGCAGAAACAGCAGAAGGTGAAACTTAAGACATGCAGCTACTCAAGGAGTGTCATCTGGGAAAAGGGGAATGACAACAACAATAAAAGGCAAAAAATAAGGGAAAGCAAGAAAACTTACCCCAGCAACATTAGGAAAAAGATGGCTAATTTGCTGTCAGTAAGTAAGCTATAAGGAAGTCACATTCAGCAAAAGACCTAGTTTTTAGGATAGTAAATGACTTTAATAATAGGAGACATCTAGTTTGTCTTAAATCCTTCTGTTAAATTCCTACAGAAAAATTCAATAAGAGAAAATAATTTTATATATATATATATATATTTCATATTTACAGCTAATGACTCTAAATATAGCGCTTAAATATTATTTGTTTTGTTAATGGTATGTCCTTACTTTTACATCAGTATATACACGTTTGAAGCATCTACATAACGTGGTATAAATGAAAGTTATTTTCCAGGTTTGTGTCCTGCAGATTCATACTTCATACATTCACCGGAAAATTTCATTATAGAGACATTGCCAGATAATACAGCAACCTGTCTAGCACACTGGCTTTTGGTACTAGAGCACAGTAAAAATAATAAAAAAAATAATAAAGCTTTGTTTTAAAATGGGATTCAGATTTCTGGAATATGATTTCCTTCCACACTGGAAAGAGACAAGACTTTGAATATCTATCCCTCTGCAAAAGCATGAAAGTCTGTCCGTCGGTAAAGAGAGGACTCTTTTACAATATAGAAGACTAAGCTATACATGTATGTCCCTTTTCTACCTGACTGAGGAATCAAAAACTTGTGCCTTCTAAATCCAAGGAAAGTAAACAAATTATCAGCACTAGGCTGATCTAAATCAGTAATATTTTTTGCCATTATAAAAACAATTAAACAATTATTTAGTTATAATTGTAAACCCTCCCATTTTCTGTCTGCCTGTTTGCCACCCTCAAAAGAAAAGGTAGAACATTAACTTCAAATTTATAAATTAATAGCCAGTTTGCAGATCAGACATTTATAAAAATTTTTCTCCCTCAGCTTTAAACAGTTCGTTCTTCAAGGCTTGCTAAACAGGCTCTTCAAGAAAAATGCAGCTCTTTTTTTTGTTGAAGAAAACATTTCCTTCCTACAGTATAGAGGATGATGCAAAACTAACAAAATATAGTCTGCAAGGACTATAAAAATGATAACATTTACTGCATGGAACAACGTATGGCTATACACTTCTAAATAATACTTATATTTGTGTCCAGCAGACAGGAGATGCTACTGTACTTGTCCTGAACTCCACTTGGATTTACTGTGGGGCGCAGCAAGGGAGCACTGTACCAGCAGCAGTTGTTCCCAGCAGCACAGACGTAATGCCACTTGTTACATTATGATCCATCATAGATTCTTCTGTTTTACTTTAATACTTTTCTTCAACAAGTTGTGAAATACATAGATGTGTGTATATGCATCTCCCCACCACCCATTTAGTTTTTCTCAAGTTTATTTTTGAAATAAGTTGTATTCTAGTTTTTGTAGCACCGCTGTTTTTGAAACAACATCCAATTAGCAGCAAATCTGCAGAAGTAAAATACATTAACGTTCACAGGAGACTCATGGGATACTACCATTAGTTACAGTAGTTCTGAAAAGCAGTTATGCCATTCCCATAAGGAGTGAAAAAAAACTAATTCTTTATTTACTAATAATACCAGTTAGGTTTCAAAAATATAACATTTAAATTATCTAACACTTTTTGGCTATTACAAGAGTCCAGAATGTGTTAAGGACTTCACTTGCTACCTCTTCAGAGAGTTGAGCAGATCTGTTTATTCCTCTTTAATTATCTTGTTTCAGCCTTTACAGCCTACTTCTCTTTTCCATTTTTCTTAATCATAGAATCACAGATTGGGTTAGGTTGGAAGGGACTGTGACTTGTTCCAACCCCCATGTCAGCGGCAGGGATACCTTACACTAGATCAGGTTGTCCAAAGCTCTATCCATGACTTTACTGTCCTTAAGAAAAAAAGTATGGTCTGTCCTGCTTCATAAGGATACTCCCAAGAATACAGAATATCACTTCCCAAAGGACAAGCCCAATCCTTTTGTTTGTGTCTCCTTTCCAGTAACTGTTGCCCATCCCAGAGGTAAGCTATTCATGGAATGCACTCATGAATTCGCAATGGCTGCTCCTTGTCTCCTATCTTTGGAAAACTCAACTGCAAGCCCTTTAGTTCTTATGTCATGACACAGTTCTGATCTTACCTCCAGAAGACAGAGATCTCCCTCTTATTTCAGCTTCTCCAGGTCTTCCACTGAGCATTTAGCATCTTGGTACTAGACATTACTATAACTCACACACCAATACACAAGTTTTTGAATCTATTTAAACTGTCATTTGCAAGCTTTCATGACTTTAGTACGCATTTTGTATAGGTCCGGAACCAATCAACTCTGGTACTTTGTTCCTATACACAGGTTTTAGCATTTTTTCTATAATATACTGAATTTAAGCCCAATTAGAAATCCTAGCACAGCATCTTCCAGCACAGTATGTCTGCATAGACAGTTACTTCTGACAATGATCAATATTTACTTTTCAGAACTGCTGCCTTTTGAGCCACCTATAATTTTTAGCAGGAGCCAATTTTGCTGTCTGTTTCACACTCCTTTCCCCAGAGGACTGTTGTTGCAAAGTCTTCTGCATGTAGCAGCCCTTTCCTCCATTCCTAACTAGATATATTTTTAAGCATTTTTGTGCACTGTTTGGAACAGTCTTTTTAGTAGTTTTAAAATATCCAAACTCAGGAAATTGTCTCCCTCCAAAAGACTCCAAGTGTCTTTCAAAAACCTGTCCTGCAGTACAATACATTCTCTTACAGATGCTATGTCAAGACAACAGTTATCTAGCATTAAATAAATTTACTTCATTTATTTCATTAAATCTGAAAAGGAATTGTGCTACTGAATTAGACATTAAGAAAAAATATCTGGTAATACAAATTTTCACTGCCTATTGAAGCCATTTATATAATAGGAAAAAATAGCAGAAATAGCAACAAGGCTTTTGTGTCTCTGGCAGTGGTTAGACCACATAGTGCTTTGAGTAAGTACTAGGAGATAAGCTTATGAGCCTCTTACCTCAGATACATCTGAACAACCCTGTCCACAGGTGTTTTAATGGTAGTGGACTCTGGATTTTATTCACTATGGAAAAGACAAATCTTTCCAGTTCAAGCTTTTACTACAGGCATTACTATTAAAAAAAAAAAAAAAAAAAAAAAAAAAAAAAAAACACCTTTGATGGAAGACAGGACTCACTTCCCTTTGGGAAGTGACACAGCAATTCTCAGGTCTTAAAAGTAATGCAGGTTAACTCAGGTGCAATCAGAAACAGAATATGGGATATTGCAAAAGGAGCTCCACATCAGTAGTGCAATCTTAAATTCAAAATGTTAGACAAGTATTACTAAGCATCTTAATTAAGTACACCAAGTTAAAAAGCTACTGTAAATTATTCTTGTGCACATAACGCATCATTACTGTTTCTGTATCAGCCTTTAACACTGGCACTTCAAAATCACTAATAATAATGTAATATATGCGTAATAATCTTCATATACAGAAATTGTTGCTTACCTTAGCAATGCACAAACATCCCACTATCCCTGTTTTAAAACAGTTCGTGGTTTTATGTAATTAGCCTTTCAAGCACATACTGCAAAGTTGCTAAGGATGAGGAATCAGTTTCTAAGCAAGCCCCAGCAGTTACATCGGTTATACAACTCTTATACAGTCAGGCTGATCTAAAGAACTACAAAGAATAGTTTGAAGACATACCATGAACTTCTTCACTCTTCATATAGGTTCGACATTACAAGAGAATAAATGTCAATATGCCCCTACAAATGGAAGATTGTAAAATAGGAACTTTCATGGTCTGACAGAGCAGAGCACCCAAACAAAGTAAGCTAAGTCGCCAGAGCGAGGAAAAGAAGAGGCAAGAATAGTCCATTCCCTGCAATGCCTCTAGCTTCTCTGCATTCAGACTAAATTTCAATTATGAAACGCTGGACCTCCACCCTACCACCACCACACAGGCTGCGTTTTGAGTAAAATAAAAAAACTCCATGGCTGCTCACAGGATACCACATTGGGCCTTCAGTAAGGAAAAGTGGTACAAGGACTATCAAACATTGTCAATGGTCACTCTCAAACCAGATGCAGAGGCAAAGAAGAAAAATAATAATAAAAAAATAATCACAGACCTTTCATGATTCCAGGCAGCACTTTGATTACAAGGCTATCTTTTCCTGTGATTGCAACAACCTTCTTTTGAAGGATTATACTTTTTGACATATCTGCGCACTTTATGCAGTGAAATCAAATGGCAATAGTCAGACATTTATACCTAATTACTCAACCATTTTATCCACCTGTCACAATTTTGCTGCAAGTGTCAAAGGTGCATTTTAGCATAAAACCTGTAATAAACATTAAATTGGTTTTCATTACTTTGACTTAGAATGTCTATCAAAATGAAGCTTTTACATTTACAGAAAGCATTTATAGAATTAGCTGTGACATAGTGGCTTTTTGACCTTTCCATACATGTAAGCCTCTAGGAGCAAGTGCACTACTTAGCTACCTGACCCTTGCTCATTCCAGCTACAAAAGACATTGCAAGCATACAAAGGAAAAAAATACATTTTTTTTCTTCCTGCAGTGCTTCACAAAATTTACGTAACACTGATACAGATAACTAAGGCAGGAGTTGATGTATCTGGTGAGTTAGCCCTATGACTTGGCAGCACATAGCTAAAAACAACATTCAGGACTTCAGAGTAAGGTTGAGACTCAAAAGTTTGCCTGTAGTTTTGGATTTAATCTGTGAGAAAACATAATGCAAAACTGTTCACCAAGCAATAATTCCCTTGGAAGGCTCAAGCCATCAGCTGAACATGAAACAAAGTTCAAGTCTACAGTGAAACACAAAACCCAGGAGGTGTCTGTGGGTTGTTCTCCCTCAATCTGTGACAAACTATTCTATGTCAGTAGTCTAAATAGTTTCTTCATACTCTGAACTTGTAGTGTTTTATCCAAATTGGAGAGTGGCGATTCTTCTGTTTCTGTAGGTACCCGCAATTAAAATAATCCAAATGTAAATGGAATAGGTTAACCATGAGGGCATACAATTCAACACTTCATCTTTATTAACAATTACCATGCACTCAGTACAGCTATAAGGTTTTTAACCCTAGGTTTATAACAGCTGGCTAGAAGAAAATTGTCATGTAATATGATCTTCTCATGCCTTCATAAGTCTCCTCTCTCTCCCTTCACCGTCATTTTCTCACCTTACTACAACTTGTCATATCCTTATGAATAAGCATCTATGGCTTTCCTACTACTCTTGTCCATTCTAAGTGCCTTATATGCATTTCTGGAAAGCTTACACTTATTAATGTTAAAGAACATGTGAGCAATGAGAGACACATTAGGATAAAGGTTTTTTTTTGGTTTTTGTTTTTTGTTTTTTTACTAATTTAGGACTCAGCAGAAGATGGGAAAGTGCAATGACATGCATTGATAGGGAGTGCAATGAAAGTGCAAAGATGGCAAAGTGCAAAGACAAAGAGTTCCTCATTCAGAAGCAAGTTGCGTACATAACTGACATAGTTACAATATTCAGAAAGACTATAAGGATTATTCATATGTACTGCACTTCTGTTCTTGTCAAATGGGACAGAGAAATTCCAGTGAGTTTTTCTAAAGCTTTCATAGTGCTTTCACCTACTCCTTTTAGTGCTGTTTATTTTGTTTGCTTTTGTGCCAATATGAGTAAACAGCAAAAGTGAAGACAGGGAAGTTCTAAAATAAAATTTTGAAGGAAATAGTGGGAGCCAGTTTCCAACCAAAAAAAAAAAAAAAAAAGACCTTATCTGGAAAAGTTGCAAGCATTTTTCTAAAACTACTGCTGCTCAGAACAGTTCTCCCCAGAACCAAGACTACTGTGTTAAGCTATGCCTATTCTTACACATACCTGAGGCCAACTTAGGGGTAGGAGACAAACTAATTAAGATCTAGGTGTTTAAGATCACTAACGAATAATCTTAGATTAGGGCCTCTCAAATCTGAAATGCAATGATAAATTAACAATAAAGGCAAATCTTTTCAATAGAAAAGGGACAGATTTCTGTTGAAAGCGCTTTTCACTCTCTTGTCTGCCTTCCAAGAAAGGGACAGCCAACTGGAGATACTACAAGCTGCAAACCTTAGCGTATATTAGACAGCACTGCAGGCCCAAATTTCTAAGACAATGGTGAAAGTTAAATAGCATTTCAATTACCAGTTACCAATTTTCAATGACCAATAAACGACTATTGGTTATTTTAAAATTTTTATAAAAGTTAAGATGTGAAACCACTTATATCAATTCATCATGCAGTGAAAGCATGTCACACCTGAGCTGTACAAATCTGACTACCCAAAACACTGAAAAAACTATGCAAGGCTCCCAAATTGTTCCATTATTCTGCTCTCACTAATGTCCCTGTTTAGCAAAACTAAGTGCTTGGAGAGTCAAATTTAATGTATTCTAATTATATGATGTTCTGCTCTGATGAGCTATTACATCAGGAACTGAAAAAAACTGAGGAATCTTCCTCTAAGAAGAATATCCCCAGACTAGGCTAGGCATGCTTCTGTGCTTCCTCACTCATTTAAAATACAGTTAAAATTCTGTATAGGAGCCTTTCTGCACAACACGATTCACAAACATAAAAAATGTTCAGCAATAATCCTGACGTTATTTTTGCTGCCCTGCATGCACTAAGTAGCTTATTATTTATATTACTTTGCCACTGGAAAAAATATATATATAAATATATAAGTAGTTCTGTAATTTTATTCCTACAGTTTTGTGTATGTAAAATAAGATTCTTCATATTATGTCATAACATTGAGAGAACCTACTTAAGGTATAGCCACATACAAATTTGTTATTTTATATATATTCTTATAATATTTTCAATAAAAGACCATAACATTCTGAAAAGCTGTCTCCCACAGATATTGCCAGTTGCAGTTATGTAAACAAGGGTATTTTTATTTACATTCGAGAACAATCATATAGATAAATTAACCGCACTCATGTAGATTGATGTTCCCTGTTGCATACCCAGAAAAAAAGAAGAAAAATGTAAAAATTAACCACCTCTGATGTTGGCTTTGTCAAAAGTTATATGGTGGTACATTCTGAAAGAGATTAGAGAAGCATATAGAGATTTCAGAGCTGTCACCACCATACCCTAAAATACAGAATAATACCAAGAATATTATAAAATTTGTTCTATTATATTATTCAATTTCCTTCACTCCTGAAAATATCAGCTTGGACAAGCAGAGAGCATAGCAATCATGGCAAATATTTAAGATGTAGATGTTCTTTGAGGTCAAACAGTAAGTTCTCAAAACTTACAGAATTGTATTATTTTTCAAAATAGTTAAGCAAACAGACCCTCAATTTGATAAATACAAGTATTTGATATAATGTCATGAAATTCATTAAGTTTTCTGCAATACATAAAGTAGCAGAATGATAAAGAATTCTTTTTATGATTCATAATCACTTCCATTCACAAACACGGTTCATGAGTGCTGTTATCATAACCTTCCAGTAACATTTACTTGTCTTTTTTAAGACTTGTCTCAAATTTCTTTCTCCATGTCTAGGTCTAGCAATTTCAGCCCCTACCTTCCACTTCCCATTATATGACTTTAGCAATAAGATACATTTTTCCAATGGAAAGATATGCTGCCCCTTTTCTGATGCTAATAAGTCAGAAGTCCTAACAGAAGACAAAAGGAACACAACTGCCAAGTGCAGGATGGGGACACTCGGTGTGTAAGGAGGTTCTCAGCAAACAGAAAACAAGTCTGTACCACAGAAGCAGAGTGCCCGAAGATCTTCAGCCCTAGGATCACGCTTCCTCAGCTCAAGCTGCCCTTCATTCTAAGTTGTGTGTTTAAGTTTTATTACTGTCCCAAAGATTTGTTTTGGGACAGAGATGGTTTCCAGCACATTTGAGGTAGTATAGGATGACTGCATCATTTCTACTTATTATTTCATCTTATTCAAGACAAAACAAACTGAAGATAGAAAGCAGAGAACACTCTTTAAAACATACTAAAGAAAGCTAAATAATGAAGCCAAACTGACATCTACTTTAAGGAGTTTATTACTGAGATGCATGATCAGGTCACATCCTTGGAAATGGTATTTGCATACCCGGATCAGCTCAGGATGAAGTAATTCAAATGTGCCAGCAAGAAAACTACAGATTTTCCTTAGTTCTGTTATCGCCCTAACCTTGTACTATCCTGTGGCTCTTGCTATATATTTCACTGCTGTGAACAGACTGCCATTTCCCTGATTTTTTTTAATCTTCTGAACTTATAATTTCAAATACATATGATAGCAAAAATAAGCAAAAAGGCATAAGCACACTAATTTTGTTCAGATAAATATTAAGTCTTTTAGTCTTAATAACTGACAAAGGCTGCATGAGACTGCTGCTGGCCTTGGTGCTGCTTGCTCTAACTCTCTCAGGCTTTTGCACCCTAAATGGTGCTTTCTCAATGATACCAAAACCACACAACCTGCTGATGACAGCAACAGAATCAAAGATCAAAATCTTCATTCCTTGGGGATCGAGAGGAAAAGCAGCACTGAACTTTGAAAGGTGCATTTTTCAGCACTGTTAAATACCAGAAAGTGTAAGAAGATGTCCTCTCCTTTTCTATTCACCTTCATTCTTTGTTTGAAAATGAATACTGAACACCTTTTTATCCAAGACACTTACACAG